CAACTCTCGGAGGGATTGGCATGGTAATGTACATGACAATGTTAATGTATTTGGTCTTGGCGGAATAGATCTGCTACGCTGCTGCTGCTGCTGCGGCAGAGCAAGTACCGAGACTTGCTACTGCCAATACATCCACAACATGCTGCCGTGAGCATGTAAAAAATATCGCTGCTGTAAATATAACATACATGAAATAACCCCCCATATAGCATACATGAATCACCTCGTAGCAGATCTATACAGGTGGAGCTGGGGAAGGTGGAGGGTTTCTGAAGCAAGCTGCAACTGCTACGGCAAGCACTAGTCATATATTTGAATGTTGAGCAGCGAGCTCATTGGCTACCGATACAGGAGAGAACCAATCAGCTGTGACATGTGATAATGATGTCATTAGGTCAGATTTAGTTAGACCTATCGGACTGTGCCATATAGAGTTTCATGCCAGAACTCTGTATGTAAAATTCTCTATGTAGGCGGCAACTATTCCTCGCATTCAAGGGATAGTTTACGCAAAAATGAAAAATCATTTACTCACCCTCATGTTGTTCCTAACATAAATGACTTTTTTCTTCGTTGGAACACAAAAGAATATTTTTTCTGAAGAGTGCTGGCAACTAAACAGTTTTGTCATTTTGGAATGACATGATGGTAAGTAAACAATGACAGAATTTTCACTTTTGGAGTGAACTATCCCTTTAAGTTTCCTCCAATGTCAGTCTGATGTTGTTGACCTGCAGAGACCTCACACTGTCTCTCTCTCTTTTCCTCCGGCCCGACATTTTTGGCCCCGTCATTTTTCACACACTCTGGCCTTAGCTGTCCTGAGGCAAGCAAGTCCTGCTACTAAAATAAGAAAAATATGCCAGTTGCTGATTCCGGGTTTTGTTCTCCACACAGTGACATTCCAGCCTCCTCTTGCTACAAAGAAAAAAAAGGATTGAGTTTTCAGCAACAACCTCTTAAGAATCTGTCTGTCATTCTTTGTCTACCTATCTGTCTGTCTGTTTTTCTGTCTGTATGTCATTGTTTGTGTGTATTGTTCTGTCTGTTTTTCTATCGGTCTGTCTGTCTGTCTGTCATTGTGTAGCTATCTGTCTTTCTAATGCTGTCTCTGGCTATCTGTCATTCTGTCAAGTTGTCTGTCATTCTATCTGTCTGTATGTCTGTCATTCTGTATGTCGTTCTTTTCTATCTGTCTGTTGTTCTGTTTGCTCTCTACTTGTATGTCATTCCCACTGTCTGTCTGTCATTTGTTTTTTTGTACATCTGTCTGTCTGTCTCTGTAATTGTCTTTCATTGTATCTGTATGTCTGTACACTATCTTTTTATCTTTCTTTTTTGTATGTCTGTCCTTTGTTTTGTCTATCTGTCTGCCTGTCTTTGCGTCTGTCTGCTGTCTGTATTTTTGCCATAAAAATTTCTGAACATAGCCACAAAAAATAGTCACAGAAGCTGGCATGGCATTAAAACAAACAAACAAACACCCTATTCTGTTTGTTGTCAGTCAGTCTTTCTCTCTGTTGTTTTGACTCTGTCTGTCCTCAGTGACCAATCTCTACATTGAGGCTGAAACATGTCTAAGAAAACTATTCTAGACAGTTGTTGTATTGCAGACTTGTGTCGTTCGCTCTCAGCGCCCACTTCCTGCATCGAGCTTCTGGAATTCTCTTTCATGCAAGAAACAGCACAAGAGTGTTCAAAGAGCCTGGAGAGATTTATGTGAGAGAGAGGGTGGCTAAGGGCCAGTGGAAGTGCGTGAATCCTTTTCACTCCTGCCTCATGGGAATGTTGGTTAGATCGGCTAACCAGCACTGGCCTTCTTGATACACAACCAGCACACACACACACACACGTGTGCACAGACTCAACAATAGACCTCAGCCCTTGGGTCCTCTCTGTCAAAGCCTGTCTCCTGATTCAACCCTATAGGGGCTTCTTAAAAGCACAAACCTCTATTTGATACACCTCCATCCAAGAGAAGCAAAGGAAGTGCTCCGTCTGTTATGGATTTTCCCTGATCTGTGCTTTTTTTAGGGTCAAGATTGTTAAAATTATTTTCAAACCATTTTATTTTTGTATATAGTCAGCACAGAGCAAGCTATCATATTCTTTCACTAACGCACACACACACACACACACACAGACACACAAATTAAAGGTCAGTACTGTAGCTTCTCTCTTTCAGGCTTTATTGCATACTGGAGTCTTTTGTCTGTGTTCAGCAATTCAGTCAGTTCAGGTGCATCTCAACACGGGCAGCTTTTGAAGCGGTTTGATGCACAATGTGTTCTCTTATGTGAGGGGGTGTTTGTGTGTGATTGCAATAATTTTGCTTTTTATGACATCAGCACAGCGCACTAACATCATGTGTTCCTTTCAGACTATCTACCAGCTTTATCCTGTGTCAAAAATGTACAAACCCTTCTCTATCTATCTATCTATCTATCTATCTATCATCTATCCATCCATCCATCCAACCAACCAACCAACCAACATAAATTAGTAATTCTTCTAATATTCATTCTCTCTTTCTCAGGTGGGGATGAAGGACAATCCTGCAGTAGATCCGATTATTCATGGGCTAAGAGGAGTGGTTCATCACGGTGAGTTTCCTCAGCGACCAGCACGGATCAACTCTAGGCATGACGAAGCGGATATCGTCCTCTTTTGGAAGGCCAAACAAAGCAGTTTCGCTTTCACAACGAAACACACAGCATCTTCACGACATGGCGGCAGCAACAATATTGCCGTGCAAAGGCAAAAGACCGTAAACTTGGATTTTTGTCGAAAATTAGTTATTGGTATTTTTGGGACATTCAAGACATCCTTTATCATGTGCATAAGTATCTTCGCAATCTACCAAACAGCTCCACATAAAAGTACTGTAAAGACTAGATACCTTGGCAGCAATACGTAATCGTGAATATGAATAACCTTTAAAGATTTTTTTTTCTTTTTGTAATGCAGATTATATGTTTAACTTTTAGTCTGCTTGTTAAGGTAAAAAAACAACAACAAACAATTAATAGAGTCACATTACTATATGCAATAGCCTATATGAGATAGCCCATGATCGCTAGCTTTTATACAGGTGTTACTATAACGATTTTGTAAATGGTGATCAGCAACCAAATAT